AACTGCGGCATCAGTCAGTGCCGGTGGTCCGGACTGTGGAATACCCTTTTGGGTGACTCTAATGGGGGTTGCGTTCCCTAGGACCTGTGGCATCACTTGAAGGGATGCCATGGCAGACATATCAGACAATTGCTCATTATCCTTGAGAAATTCTGACGAATTTTTCTCAGTTCTAGCCCTTGGGGTGGCCAGAGATATAAGCGGCTGCATTAATGTCGGCTGAGCAGGTTGAGGCGGATCCGAAACAGCGGATTTCTTACGCTTAGGGGACTCATTTAGCAGCTGAAGGCCACTAAACTGAGTGTCCAGCGCACAGAGCTGTTCATTGATTTTACGAAAACCAGTGATCAGCTCTTTAAATCCATTTTTGGTCTGTCTCATGAACGACCTCATTTCGCCTTGCACAGCACGACAATTTTCACAACAATAATGTATCCCAGACCTACGGGAAGTGGCATCCGAAACTGATGCAGTGAAACCGGCACACTTGGCGTGCACGACGTTTTCACATAACCAGCATTGGATGCTAGGCTGGGATGTGGAAATTGTCTTGTTACAAGACTTAATGGCACAGACAAGTTTAAATTCCATTTTATTTATTTTTTTTTTTTCATTTAATAAAACAAAAATTAATATTTAAAAGTTAAAAAACACAATACCTTGAACCACTGTGCCAAATAGGAAGCCGAAGCGAGAGCTTTGAATAGTGCAGAAGAGAAATGCAGAAATATAGATAAGACGGGGAAGAAGCAGAGCTGAGCTATGCTTGGAATAGAATTTAGACAAATTATTAATTCGACTCCAAATATACCACAGCACTCGCGAAGCGATACGGTTTAGGCTTTAAGATTGTTAAGATTCACAAGATTTAATTCACAAAGTATGTAAACACCGGTTTACCAATATTTGTCATAAACGCAGTGTGCACAAAAAAAACACGACCGTTCACTTGAAAGAAAGAGAGGGAAGTGGGTATTATAGGTACTTTGGGTATTATTCTAAAGGCTTAGTATTATTACTAGCAGGAACTTTAATTTCTGAAATTCGAGCTATCTTCTTATGTATTGAAGAAAGAAAAAATCTGAATTAGTTTATACTGTTTATTTATTAATGCATTTACTGACACGCCATTTCTTATTCGGCCATCGTTGGTTTTCGGTTTGTACTTCGATTGCATTAATGCCTTTGAAGTTTTTATACCCTTCCAAGGGTAAAAAAAACTAACTTGTTAAAATATCAACTTTGGAATTTATGAAGATAATGGGATGGGATTTTTTTTTAGATTTTGTTTTGTAATAAATTGACTATGATATTGTCATAAGGATCGGCCAACTATATCCGATTTTTTGGATATATTTATTTAAACTGCAAGGGTATATCAACATCGGCTTTGCCCGAAGTTTTCTTTCCTTTCTTGTTTTTCACACTTTTCTGGTAGCGATGTTCCTGTTTTTGCCAGTTTAAATATACTAGCGTAAAGGCTTTTGCTAGCTCTTCCTTATTGAATTCTTCCTTATTACTTGGAACTAATCTTTTAGCTTACTCTTGAGACGTACTTCTGGTTCATTTTCTTTTACTCTTTCCGTTACAATGGTTTCGCTTTACGTCTTTTAAATAGAAGTTACGTCGCTAGATTTCGCGCCGGATCTCCGGTTTCAAGTTATTCTTGAGGACTAGTTTTGCTGTTTTCCACGGTTGTCCCAGCTTATCTATCAACACTGATGCCCTGTCGAAAAAATTATCCGACATTCATTGGGTTTTTACTTCCGGTTTTATATCAATTCTTTTATACTTCAGTCATCTCATCCCTGCCTGAGCTGCATTCGCGCAATTTCGCATAATCTTTCTCAACGCACGACCCCATCAGACTTTTGAATACAAATTTAATAAAATTCATTCGCTTTTTCTTTATTAAGATATTTTCATTCAACTCTTTAAATGACGCGAATAACTGTCTTATTTTTCGGGTCTTTGCTCTTGCCAATTTATAAAAATCAGCACCGGCCACTTTATTTCTAAACCCAGAGCCTTATCGTGCTTTAAACGTGCCCTAAAAATACCATTTCCGATCGTTCAGTTATATGGTAGCTATAAGATACAGTCGGCCGGTCGTTATGAAGTTTGATCAACTGACTAAATATAGAATATGTACGAAAATCCAACTTTCTGCCTTCAAAAACACGAAAGTTGGATCATTTCCGATTGTTCAGTTATATGACAGCTATAGGATATAGTCAGCCGATCCTAATGAAATTTGAAATGTATTATTTTCCCAAAAATAGCACTTGTGCAAAATCCGAACTCTCTATGGCAAAAAACAACAAAGTTACAGCATTTCCGATCGATCAGTTATATGGCAGCTATAGGATATAGTCGACCGATCTCGGCTGTTCCGACTTATATATATATACTGCGTGCAAAGAAAAGAAGGGTGGGTGCAAAGTTTGAAGTCTATAGCTATAAAACTGATAGTATAGTTTGCGTAGAAACAGATAGACGGACATGCTTATATCAACTCAGAAGGTGATCCTGATCGAGAATATATATACTTTATAGGGTCGGAGATGTCTCCTTCACTGCGTTGCACACTTTTGAAATTATGACTTTTTATTATGACACTTTTTATTATGATATTCTCATAAGGATCGGCAACTATACTCGATGTTTGCGATATATTCGGTTTTAACTGCAAGGGTATTTCAACTTAGTACATAGGTATACAATAGTACAGCACTTATTGCGACTTATTGTTTCTACTACCAGATAGAAACAGATCGACTGACAGACGGACGTGCTTATATCAACTCAGGAGGTGATCCTGATCAAGAATATATTTACAAAATTTTAATACCCTCTGCAAGAGCATAAAAAGGTCGCAGTTGTCTTTGGCTTTTGTGGAACAGCGACATATGTGAGCGACTTGTGGTCCGTTTTAATGACAACAGCGCGTGCCTCCAACTTATGTTTAAATAACATCGATCGTCCATGCTGTTGTTCCATTCGGTCCGTTAAGGGTAATGACCCTGATTCAATTTTCTTAAGGGGTTATATACAGTTGTACCGCGCAAAAATATGGAATTTTATCGATTTTTTTTTGACACCATAGAAAATATTTATGAAAAATGTTTTACCGACGTTGTTTAGTACATGTTTCTGGGTACTTAATTACATTTTTTCATAAAAAAATATTACATAACAAAAATGTTATAGCGGAATTCCCGAATCGTCTTTTTTCGATAGTGTCTTGCGGTGGACATGATTTCTCGAAAACGGTTCATCCGAAATCCAAAATTCAAAAAAATTTAGTTAGTATATTGTATTGTCAAGTCCGTGAACGAGGGATTTTTTAAAATTTTGACTAAAAAAAAATGGCGACGTTTTTAACAAAAAATGTACTTTTTCAAGGTATAAGATTTTCGTTTTTTCTGCTTTTAAAATGGAGTTTTCAAAAAAATTAAAAATCCCTCGTTCACCTCGGACTAGCTAATATCATAATAAATAAGTGGTCAAAATTTGGTGTTGATCGGATGAGTAGTTTTTTAGTAATCGTGTCCACCGCAAAGGTATTTTCCAAAAAAAAAGATTCTGAGATAATCGCGTTTAAAGTTTCAAGTTTGTTCAAGTTTTATATGCAGATAGTGCGCTATAAATAGCTACATCTTCGGTTCTAATGCTCCGATTTATACTACTTATACTACTAAGTCAGAATCAACCTGGAAATCTTTTATTTTCGTTTGAGGATATGCAGCCGCAGATCGCATTTGCATAGTAGTCTTACATGGATAAGTAAGACATGGTTGTCTCGCATGGGCATGGTAGAGCAACTGCACTACACTTAGTTTTTAGTTGTTTGACCGAGTCCAGCAGTATTTTTAAGGTTTGACTTCTATCGCCTCTCTTAGTTGTCTATGAGATAGTTTCCACACTTGCTACGTTGGCCGCCTAGCTAGCCTATATCTTTTAGTCAGCTGTTGTGGCTAGGGTGTTGAAATCATTTTTAAGAGTGCCAAGATTGGTCAAGTGGTTTTTGTCATCTCCTATTTATGAAAAGTGCACGTACGGTTGGTTCGCTACGTACGGCTTATGCAAGTCCCCTCATGCAGACCAATAGCTCCCTTGGTTTAGAACCGATTTATTATTTCTTTGGAGAAGACGCTGCAATTTAAATTTCAACGATTCGGCAAACTGGGCTAGTAACCTTTATTTTAGTGCCTAATACTTTTTCTGCTCTGGGGGCGATAGAATTATATCCTCTAACTCTTGCACAATTTTATCCTCTAAATGAACGACTACGGTGCGAATTTGATGTCATGAGAGTTAACGTTACTAAGAACTATGGAGAATCTGCTACTAATACAAGACCAACCAGACTATCTCTGTTGACAGCCCAGCTTTAAACAAACAACTTATTCCGAAATCCCCCCATTATGTGGATGGGAATTACACACGAACTGCTGGTGAAGGCAACAAGTTGGCGAGAGCAAATTCGACGTTGCCAGCACTGAGGGTTGGAGGCAAAAACGGCGAAGAAAGCTGGCTGAGATCGGCAATTGAGCGTAGTATTGAGCGGCGGCGATGACTTTGGTTCCTCCGCTTCCAGGGCGCATGTAGAACTCGGCTTAAACTTCCGTTAAAAGTCCAGAACTGAAAACTGCCAACCTCCTTATAGTCGAAATCCTACAGCTTATCATGGATCTCGAACTCCATGCTCAACTTGTGACTTGTTGCACCGTCAGAAACTTCTCTAAAAGCTCATCGATCGTTTGTGCCAGATATTCCTGCCGGTCCATGATGCCAAAACTCCATAATCCAGCTTGTGTTTGTTTTGTGAAAAAAAAAAACATTTTTTGAATCTCCAAAAACGGAAATCTAGTTTTAGCGACAGTCTTTTAACGTTAATTTATTTCCTTTTTATTTGGTGTATAATATACGTACTTTTACGTACGTTTGTTTTTACGTACTTATACATAATTATTTTATTATTGTGGTATTTTTTTTAGGTTGTGGAGATGAATTCCGAATTACTTCAGAGTATGCTGTCATTATTATTAAATAATGTTTTAACGGAAGACTGCCGAAATCAGTGGTCTATGTCACGCCCATTATTAGTACTTATTTTACTTTACGAGGACTATTATCGGTAAGCTAATTAATTAAAAAACTAATTGGTTACAGTAAGTTGTGCAAGTCCGATCAGATGCTGACTTCTTGACTATTTCGAGCGTTGCACTATGGAGCATTGCACTAAAATTTCAATTGTTGTGTTATTTAATATTACCAATATTACCCGTTAAGATATTTGCGTTTTATGATTTTATTGTCGCTCTCCTATAGGGAGCTAACAACACCAACTCCAAAAAAAAAAAAACAAAAATTAAATGAAATATATATGCCTCTTTCATCCCATAAAAATTAAACTCAAAAATTAAAATTTCATATTTGAATCATTTTTAAGCTACTTATTTATGTATGTAAAAAAAAAATATTACAAATGTTCTGCTAAATAGATCTCAATTATTTAAAAAACATCAAAGTTATTAATGGGGATATCTGAGTAACTGGAACAAATAAAGCGGATTTTTTGGATTTTTGTTGGAAAATTTTTGAAAAATTTGAAAAATAATTTTTTTTTTTGTACAAATCAAAAACAAAATGGCGGCTGGCGGCATTTCTACGTAGGCCCTTTTTTGTTGAAGGAGGTCCATAGCCGGAAAGCTAACGTACTTAATTTTTGGTCTAGATCAAACAATCAAACTTTGTTTCTATACATCAACAGATACAGATCAACAGATTTCTATACAAATATGTACATATTGATTTTTTGCAAATGGTGAGTGATTGAAAAAAGTTAAAATTTTCACGAATAAAAAACATCACACAATTTTTGATAAAAAAAAAAAAAGTAAGCAATACAAAAAAAATACGTGTGTCGATAGATAGAGGAATTTTAAATATACTGTCATTTCAAATTTCAGATCGATCGGTTAAGATTTGTTCGAGTTATGCTGGGTAAGATCGGTTGCATCGAGTGCGGCGATGACGTTGCTTCCTCCGCTTTCAGGGCGCATGTACAACTTGGCTTGAACTTCCGTTGAAAGTCCAGAACCGAACACTGCCAACCTCCTTATAGTCAAAATCCTACAGCTTATCATTGATCTTGAACTCCGTGCTCAACTTGCGACTTGTAACATTTACATTAATAGATTTCAATAACAAAAAATTTCGATGCATACGTTTTATACTTTGCATCGGCTATCAAAGAGAGCCATTCTGATAGCAAAAACATATAGCACGAACAAGTCCGTTACTTTTTGAATAAAACATTTGTGTTTTGGCAACTAAACATTTTATTTTTTTCCATAATCACATTTTACGTCGATACATTTAGTCGCACGTTTTTTTAATCGTTTTATTTCCTTAAAAAAATAAGTTTTCTCAAGGTTTTTTCTTCGGTAATGACCTACCCGATAGACTCAAATCTTTTCAATCTCAGCGGGCTAAATCTGGAGAAAATGCTGGATGATCGTATTTCAATTGCATTGCAATTGCAGCACTTCCATCGTCGCCAAATGTATCCTTTTTTGCTCCATGTCAACGTCGAATCTGTGCAACAGTTTTGAATAAGATTCGCGTGTGATAGTTCTACCTTTCTCGAGGTGACCTTGTTGGCTGACAGACTCTGTTTGGCCTTCTTTGGTCCACATTTACCCCGAGCAACCCACTGTTTCGATTTTTCCTTGGTCTCTGGCGTGTTCTGAAGAATCCATTTTTTGCAAAATTCGTCCGGATTATGGCTGAACATCGCATGAGACCACTTACGAACTTTTATTGTCCGATTATCCAATATCATATCATGGATTTTTTTAACGATTTCCGACGTGATCACTTCTTTTGGGCGACATGAACGATCAGCATCATTAGTGTTGGAACGACCACAACGGAGCTCTGTAAACTCCCCGTTTTATTTATGAAGCTTTTTCTTAGTTCTCTTCACGAGATAGCAATTGAGTATGACATCCTCATCTGGGTCCCTGGAACATCACAGGCAACTGCCTAGCAGACGAACTGGCTTTCATAGGTACCACCACACCACTCCAGCCTGAAATGGAGTCGGCATACCAAAAAAAGAAAAATTCAAGTCGACTGGGAATCTGGGAACATCCCAATTGTTAAGGATGGATAGGACTCGCATCAGCACGGCTATAGGAGTCACGGGGCACCGGCTAATGATAAGACATGTTAGGTGAATGAATTCCCCCTATAAGGACTACTGCCGCAGCTGTAAGGACAACGAGAAGGGAAATAGATTCCCGTACGGTATCACATGGAATCGAAAACGGTCTAAGTGTGTCGGTTTTTCTTTAGGAATGGGTTAATGGGTTATATTAAGTGTGGCTTATATTATGTGCCTGTGACCATCAAATGTAGAAGCCACTTGTGAGTCCCCGAAATAAGGTAAAATTCTAAATAACCTAGCAAATAAATTTGTATTAAATTTTATATATGTATTTTATAATTTTGGTCAAAAGTGTGCAACGCAGTGCAAGTGAACAAGGGCCCTATAAGTATATATAATATTGATCAGGATCGCCTCCTGAGTTGATGTGAGCATGTCCGTCTGTCCGTCTGATTGTTTCTACGCGAACTAGTCACTCAGTTTTAAAGCTATCGACTTCAAACCTTGCACACACCCTTCATTTCTCTGCACGCAGTATATAAGTCGGAACGGTAGAAATCGGTAGAAACGGTAGAAATCGGCTGACTATATCCTATAGCTTCTTTATATTTTATTGAACGTTATTATTATTTCATATAACTGATCCATACAACAGATATTGTTATTTAAATGAACGGGTTTATAATGAAATTTGCATAAGGATCGGCCAACTATATCAGATATTTTCACGATAAAACCGATATTAACTGGAAGTGCTCCGCCGAAGTTAGTTTTCCAGTCTTGTTTTTTCTTTCTCTGCTGTTTGGCTCGAGCTCGACCTTTAAGAGTAGTAAAGGCTTTTTTTTTCTAACTGTCAGTATCTAAACATTATCATTTTATAAAGTCTTGTGGTTATTTGGGTTTTTGCACTGAGAATTACATGACGTGGGTATAGAAGTAAGTTGGTCAGTTGGTTGAAAAGAAAAAGTAGAAGCCGCTTACTGAGTTTCTACGCTCATTCATTTGTTCATCTCTTTTTGTGCTTTTACGTGATTCTGATTTATTTGAAACAATTATGCATCAGTTTTCAATTATGCATTATGCATCATCAGTCTGACGAAGTAAAATACGGGTAACAATCTTAATCGGCACGTGTCTTTGTTATAATTTTTTTCTAGCACGTGCATCTTAGAAATATTGTAGTATAATTGATAAATGAACTTAAATACATAGAAGATATTTTCCTCCTCCTGACAGCCACTTAATTGAGTGAGCTAGGCACTTTAAATATGTATAAGCAATAACTCCAATACACTAATTTTCAATTCATCCCCTCAGTTCCAATAAGTTTTGATACACGCATGAATAACCGGTGCGTCCCCATGATCACCCTGAATCGGACCTAACTCACAGTGGGCGAGTCTCTAGCGGCATTTAAATTAAATTTTCAAATTTGAACATGCGTTGATTTTTTTCACATAAAGCATAGTACTGAGTTGACGAAAATCCGCTGTCCAACGAGTGACAGCTGTCAAACTCCATATAAAAAAAACGGTGTAAAAAAGGAAAGAAGAAGAAATTTTTGCCTTCTAGATTTTGCGGGTACTGAGTTGACGAACATTTTTGTTATCGATTTTAATCGTGTTGCCGGACACTAGCTCGGTAGTTGAATAAAGTGCAAAATCAGAATTTCAACAGCGGATTTTCGTCAACTCAATACTATGCTTTAAGCCTAGTACTCTGACGACGAAAATCTGCTGTCGAAAATCCGCTAGCAAAATCGCACTTTATTTGGCTACCGAGCTAGTGTGACCAAAAATATTAAGGAAAAGGGTAATACTGAACAGCTGTTGTTTGTAAACAAAAAACAAATAAGCAAAAATGAATTCAAAACGATTGGATGTTGGTGTTTTGTTTATGTATTTCGCCGCTAAGGAGCTGATTAAGAAAAAGAAAACTGGGTCAAAATCAAAATCAATCACAAGTCATTTCAATGCAATTTTATGGCATTACATGCCCATTGCGGGTCAAATCCTATATTATGGGCTTCGCCCTGACCGCACTAATTAGCTTCACTTAATCCTCGCGGGCCGAAAATTTTTCAGTCCGACAATTTTTGTCTCTCAATTTTCGCTCCATGTTTTGGGTGGCAAAATAAATCAAATGAATTATTTTTACACCCCGAGATCAGCTGTTTACCTTTTTTTTAATCCGGCAACGCCATTCAATTTGATAGCCTTCATTTTCGTCGTCTGAGTACCGGCAAAATCTAGGAGGCAAAATTTTCTTCTTCTTCCTTTTTTCACACCGTTTTTTTTATATGGAGTTCGGCGGCTGTCATACGTGTGACATCAATTTTTCATCAATTTTCCCTCCATGTTTTAGCTATCGAAATAAATAAAATTAGTTATTTCAACACCCCAAAATTAGCTGTTTATTTGTTTTGATCCGGCAACGCCATTCAATTCGATAGCTTAAATTTTCGTCGTCAGAGTACCGGAAAAATCTAGGAGACAAAAATTTCTTCTTCTTCCTTTTTTTACACCGTTTTTTTTATATGGAGTTTGACAGCTGTCACTCGTGCGACAGCGGATTTTCGTCGTCACAGTACTAGGCTTAATTATAAAAGATGCTTTGATTAGATTTATCGACGCTTTTTAAACGCTTTACGATCAGCTGATCATCAGCTGTGAACTGACAAACACAAAATTTAATTTTTCAAAGAGATTAACAAAATTATTTCTTTAAAAAAAATGTATTTCATAATTGATTTTGGAAAATTAACAATCTTTACTCAATTTATTAGAAGTTTCGCTTTTTATTCACTTTTTTTTATTACATAAAAAATGCATGTTTGTGGCGGGTCTAGAAATGTTAAGCTCATAAAACAACGAAACCGCAGTAGTGTATACCTGTCGTTCGTGGATTAGAACTTACCATATTTACATGGATGTAGTCTAAGCCGGCAGTGTGAATCATTGTGC